GAGAGACACAGACAGCAGGACTTCATTTCACGTGAGTCTGTCTGGTGCATTACTCAAAGGGTGGAGAATGTGTTAAATGTGAGCGAAAATCATCACAATTAAAAGAACCAAAGACTTAAACTACTTCAGTCTGTGTGCATTGAATCTATTTAATACACGAGTTTCACAATTTGAGTTGAATTACTGAAATAAAGTAACTTTTCCATGACATTCTAATTTATTGAGATGCACCTGTATACTCATTATATGTGAACCTGGAGCACAAAACCAGTCTTAAGTCGCTGGGGTATATTTTTAGCAATAGCCAAAAAAAATATTGTATGGGTCAAAATTATTGATTTTTCTTTTATGCCAAAAATCATTAGGATATTAAGCAAAGATCATATTCCATGAAGATATTTTGTGAATTTCTTACTGTAAATATATCAAAACTTAATTTATGATTAGTAATATGCATTGCTAAGAACTTCATTTGGACAACTTTAAAGGCGATTTTCTCAGTATTTAGATTTTTTGCACCCTCAGATTCCAGATTTTCAAATAGTTGTATCTCAGTCAAATATTGTCCGATCCTAACAAATCATACATCAATGGAAAGCTTATTTATTCAACTTTAAGATGATGTATAGATCTCAATTTCAAAAAATTTACCTTTATGTCTGGTTTTGTGGTCCAGGGTCACATATTTGTTAAATGTAGATAAACTGCTCTCAAGCCACTGAAATTATGCATTTTGAGTTTCGAATGCCTGAAATAAGTCTGTGTCTGATGGGCTGCTGTATGTTTATATAACTAGTCGGTCTCCTCTGGTCTCCATATAAGGAGAAGAGAAGCTTTGCTGAAGTGATGAGTCCGAATCAAAGGCCGTTTCCTATAGTGAACCTTTATGTGTGTGTGTGTGTCATTACATAAAACACAATATCAGACGGGGTGTTTTGTAACAGGATTATTTGCAGTAATAGTGTGTTATGATGATGTTCGTCTGATCTAAAGCATCAGCACAAAGAGCCCATGTGGCGGCTGCTGCTCCTGTCGTCATGTGTGGATCTCATACTGTGTGTTTCGCAGGGTTCCTGCAGAAGCCGACGGGGTCTTTACTAATGAACCGCTCCAGCACATTCAGACGGGTTCAGGAGCAGAGGGATCTGATCAGCACAGCGCTGCCCGCTCTCAGTGCAGGACATGTGAGGCTCCGTCCCCTTTACACTGTGTCAAACCTGCTCTGTGTCCATCTCGAGCAGCGAGAAGACCTTCACAGGCACTGGAGGTCACGACACCGTCTCCATGCATCATTTAAGTGTTATATCACAGCATGTGGGCAGAGATCGATCGTGGGATTCCTCAGCTGCATATATCTTCTCTACTTGACTTCAGACTAAATCTAGAATGTTTCCAGGAAGGAGTCACTTCTTATATTTAGTGCTTGTATAGTGGAGAACTCTTCTGCAGTAGTTTGTTCACATTCATCGGAGCCAGCTTTGTTAATCCTAAAATTATGTTCAGCTGTATTTATTTCACTTGCACACTTAACTGAAGCCTCTGACACAAATGCACAGAGATTTCAATTATGTGGGCAAAAAAAAAGTGCTCCTGTGGTGATGTATTTCCCCACATTTTGGTAATTAGTGTTCAAAAGTTTGAGGTCAGGAATATTTTTTAAGTCTCATTTGCTCACCAAGGCTGCATTTATTTGATCAAATCATACAGTAAAAATGTGAAATATTTTTAGAATTTCAAATAACTATTTTATATGTGAATATCTGTTAAAATGTAATTTATTCCTGTGATCAAAGTTGAATTTTCAGGATCATTACTCCAGTCTTGTGTCACATGATCCTTCGGAAATCATTCTAATATGCTGACTTGCTGCTCAAGAAACATTTCTGATTATTATCAATGTTGAAAACAGTATATTTTTGGGAAAACTGTGATACATTTAACTTTTCCGGATTCTTTGGTGAATAGAAAGTTCAAAAGAACAGCATTTATTTGAAATAGAAATCTTGTATAGCATTTTAAATGTATTCACTGCCGCTTTTGAGCAATTTAATGTGTCCTCGATGAACAAAAGAAGACAAATTCCTGACCCCAATCTTTTGGACATTTATTTTAATTCACACAGTCTTGCTAAAAGTATGAGAAATGACACATAATGGCTAATATTGGCTTTTAATAAAAAGGCTCATTTCTAATACCAGAGCACAGTTAGCTCGACTTATAGATGGTGCTGTAATGTCAAGATCATGAGTTTGATTCCTAGGGAACATTTTTATGACCAAATGTGTGGGTTTAATGAGTTCTAAGTCAGTTTGCATAGAAGCACATGAATCTCACACTGAATGAAAGAGGTTTCATGCACTCTCCTGTCCATCGTGTGCTGAAACTCGTGTTGTATTTGATTGTTCCTCGCGTGTGTTTCAGGGTCACCGTGTGGGCAGTGAGTTCTGGAGCGTCCCGCAGCATTACGGGGACGAGACGAGCGGGATCACAGCCACTCTCACACAAACCGAGAGAGGAAAGCGTCCCGCCGTCACACGCGTGTCTCAGCCGCTCAGCACACGCCTGGAGTCAGGTACACATGATCAACATGAGCCTGTCACACACAATCTTCACGTACACAACATATGAGGAACGGCGGTGTGATGTCTGTGTTTGCAGGTAATGTGGCGTGTGAGGCGGTGAACGGCGGCTGGGATCAGGGTTTGTACCTGCAGCAGCGGCTTCATGAGCTCAAGGACGTGCTGAGAGACTTCAGTCCTCCTGTAAGACACACGGCTTTGATTTCTGTGAACCGTCGCTTTCTGAACATTTCTGCCTTTCTGCACATCTTCATTCAGTATGTTTATGGACGCTGCTGTTGCTGATTTGAGGATTTTCTGTCCTTTGGACATTTGGTCCTGATATGAAGGCAGAAACTGCTCAAAATGTGAACGCATGTGTAACTGACGCTCAAACTGCATGAAACCCTGTTCACAGTTAATGAACACTGAAGGAGACTTAAGCACTTTTGGGTGTTTGTCTGGTTGTGTCAGCATGTGCAATTGTCACAAATAGACACATTCAGTAACTCAAACAGACTCGAGCAATGCCAAGATCATGGGTTTGATTCCCAGGAAATGCTTGAAATGTAACCTTGAGTAAGTCATTTTCTATTGAAGCATTTGCCAAATGCATTAGAATTTGAACATTTAGACTGTACATTTCACTTAGATTCTGTATGGCAAACATTTCTAACAAAATACTGCATCAGTAAGATTTTATTTTTTGAAATAATACATTTATTCATCAGTGATGCATTAAATTGATCAAAAGTGACAGTGCAGACATTTATAATGTACAAAAGATTTCTATAAAAAAAAATGCTGTTCTTTTGAACATTCTGTTCATCTTTGAATCCTGAAAAATTAAATATATCACAGTTTTCACAAAAATATGAAGCAGCACAACTGTTTTTAACATTGATAATAATCAGAAATGTTTCTTGAGCAGCAAATCAGCGTATTAGAATGATTTCTGAAGATCATGTGACACTGAAGACTGTTTCAAAATTCAGCTTTGATCACAGGAATCAGTTACATTTGAACAGATATTCACCTTTTTACTGTATTTTTGATCAAATTAATGCAGCCTTAATAAGCAGAAGAGACTTTTAAACATCTTACTGACTCTAAACCTTTGAACACTTCTATAAATTGATGGAAGATGTTCAAACTGTAATCTTATTGTTCTTGTAATAAAAAGATGATGAAAGCAGAAAGTCTCTTCAGAACAAAGTTTGAAAGGCATCTGTACATTGAGGGTTTCAAACGAGTCCCAGATCTTTTGTGAAGAAGAGAAAGAAGAAGAGTCATTTCAGCCGTTTCAAGCACAGCAAAGAAATCCTGAGGGATTGACAGTTTGAAGATGTTCGTTAGCAGAGTTGCCTTCACATGTGTCAGTTCCCAATCAATACCTGCACGTGTGAAACGTGCCGCCACTAAAAGTGCTGCCTCACGCGAGCTTGCTAAAAGACTTCAGCAGCATACGGCATTCACGTGCATGTGATTTCACCTAAATACTGGACGAGCGTCTCTTCTCCAGTTTAATGTGATGTTCTCCACTCATTACTCATCTGGACGGGCCGAGTGTGAGTCTGAGGATGCTATTGTTGTTGTTATAGTGTGATCTGTATTCAGACGCACACATGTACCCATCATCCCCCGGAGAGCAGATCCACGCATCTCCTGCAGTGATTACTAGCCATTATCACAGAAACACCAGCTCTGGGAGCTCAGCACTAGTGAGACACCAGATGTTTTCTTCTGTTACACATATAGACCCTTTAGTACTTTTTCAAAAGGTAGACAGCTAAATCATGCTCTCTTTATGAGACATTGTCATTGCAATCCCTGCTAACACCTTTCAGTTTGATGCACCCTTAGAAGGCAGCTGACTGTGTAGACGGTGAGGAAGCTCACTAGCTTTTCATCTGAGATCAGACTCGCGTCAGATGAGACTGACTGTCATATATATATATATACATGCAATAATACTATTTATGCTAATAATTACTATTACTATATTTACTCTATACTATATAGTACTCTATACTATTCTCTCTCTCTCTATCTGTCTGTCTGTCTATCTATCTGTATATATGTGTGTGTGTGTGTGTGTGTGTGTGTAAGATAAAGATGTATATAAAATGTATAAATGTTTTATTAATGTATTTTGTTTATTTATCAGTGGTTTGTATATACAGTGCTGCTTGAAAGTTTGTGAACCCTTTAGAACAAATCCTGAAAGTAGACAAAGAGAATCCAATCAAACAAATGAGAGTTTTTGTCTCCTTTGAGATTCTCTTTGTCTACTTTCAGGATTTGTGTGAAAATCTAATTATGTTTTGGGTCATATTTAGAAATATAGAAAATTCTAAAGGGTTCACAAACTTGTATGTATGTATAATTATTATCCTAATAAAATAAGCATGCTGTGTGCTGCCTTTTCTGCTTTCTTGAGCTGCATTAGTTGAGTCTGTGAGAAGATGAGCTGTGTGTGTGTGTGTGTGTTCACTCTGTCTGTTCTTGTCGGACTCGCTGTACTTTTCCGCAGCTCATCTGCAGATCTGGTTTCTAAACAGCTCGGCTTTCTAAAATAAAACCTCTCAGCTGATCATCACAAACACTCACGTTCAGCTCGAGGGTTTATTCCTCAGTGGATTTACTGAAACTCTTATCTCACATCTCTAATGTAGTCTGTCTTGGCTGTTTCTCCTGGGAGAACTGAAAACAGACACAAATGAGTCACTAGTCGTCATACAGTAAGACAGTGTGGATGAAATGACTGAGGAGTTGTTCAGTGGAGAAGCATCTCCGCTGGAGTCTGACGTGTTGTGTATGAGAAGCTGTTGAGATGTTTCAGAGCTCTGATCTGTGCTGTTTCAGGAGGCTGATGGTCTGGAGGTGGTCGGGTCTGGTCTTCCCGTATCTTCACGTTCTCCTCTGCCGGACGAGAGAGAAGACGAGGATGAAGAGCAGAAGGAGAACCAGTAGGACTCTATCTCCCTTGACTCTCATCCTGATGTGACTGCTCTGTGTTTGACCTGTCTGTGTTCTCCTCCAGAGCTCCTCTGGAGCTGTATGAGGACGTGCTGATGGACGTGGAGCTGCGTCCCGCTCTCAGGGTCTGTGGAGATCTGGCGCTCTGGACCGGCAGCACTTCCTCCCACCAGGTATGAAGAGAGAAACAGCACTGCGGGTCTGAGGTGGGCGGCAGGAGGGAGATCTTATATCACCATATGAGTCACCCAGCTCCACTCTATATGTCCAGTTCAGAGAGAGGAACCAGTCAAAGACACTCCATCTGAATGTTCAATGATTCGTAATGTTGCCATGTTGATGAAGTAATAAAAACCTTCAGAACTGGGACATTCTGGACAAACTGTTTTTTAATGGATTTGAAATGTTGCCTGGCAACTGTAAATAATGTTTCTAAGCCTTGGACTGAACAGATTCAAACTTTTGAATTTATAATTTTTTTTTTTATCATGCTGACATTTTTAAAAAAACATTATGCCACTCAAACTAGTCTAGTTGGTGGAGTAACGCACAGTATAACACTCCTTAACCGTTGTAAAACACTGCAGTCCCAAGTGGTTCATCATTGTAGTATAAACATACAAGATTTCCACTCATACAGTATGTAACATGCTTGTGTGTGTGTGTGTGTGTGTGTGTGTGTGTGTGTCAGGGGCAGGAGGGCGTCTCTGTCAGGCTGATGTTTGAGACGGTCACAGGACAGAGTGTGAGCGCTTATCTGGAGTTAAAGAATGAACTGAACAGATTCAAACTTTTGAATTTATAATTTTTTTTTTTTATCATGCTGACATTTAAAAAAAAAACATTATGCCACTCAAACTAGTCTAGTTGGTGGAGTAACGCACAGTATAACACTCCTTAACCGTTGTAAAACACTGCAGTCCCAAGTGGTTCATCATTGTAGTATAAACATACAAGATTTCCACTCATACAGTATGTAACATGCTTGTGTGTGTGTGTGTGTGTGTGTGTGTGTGTGTGTCAACTTTGAGAAAAATGGTTCCCACATTCTTTAAATGTAGCACGGCATAAAGCGAGAACTTCAACAATGTTCAAACGATGTTACGCTAATACTGTTACATAGACGTCTGTAACACTGTGGAACTCAAACAAACTCACTGACATCACAGGAACTTGAAAAGGTTCTACTATGATGCTTTCAGGACTTGTTCTTTGACGTCATGCGGGGAAAAAAACCCAAATAAAAATATAACATTGTGGAACTCAAAAAGGTTCATTGACATCATAACAACTTTTAAACGTTATGGCTTTGGGAAATGTAGAAAAAAATGGTTCCCACATCCTTGAAATGTAGCACATAATACTGCGAGAACTTCACAGCTGCCTTTAAGAACGTTCAAACAATATTACACTACTTAACATCTTCTGCATCATTGTGGAGCTCAGAAAGGTTCAATGGCATGACAGAAACTTGAGAAGGTTCTATGATCATTTTAGGACTTGTTTTGAGACATGATGGAACTTTAAAAAAAATGGTTCATTGACAACATAAAGACATGACAAGTTTTTACTATGACAGTTTTCAACATTGTGGAACCCCAAAAAACTTAAACACGTTCCACTGACTTCTATGGGACGTCTTGTGTGACATCACAGAACTCTGCAAAAAGGTGCAATGACTTCATATGAATTTAAAACACTTCTATGGCATTTTTGAAACCTATATCCTCAAAATATTATATGACATCACAGGAGATCATTTTAATGTTCATATCACATTACGGAACCTATAAAGGCTCTTCTTTGGCATCAGGCTGTACAACTATTTTTGGCTGTTTAATATGGATGTGAGATGAATCTGTGATCACCGCAGGAACATGGAGAGGAATAATTCAATAAGGAAAGCACCAAAGGCCATTGACAGAAGTAAAGGTCTCTGTGGGGATCTGCTTGATGAAAGTGTGTCGTGTTGAGATCACACTCATCAGTGACTCGTCCCGGACCGCAGTCATGGGGTGTCTGTTGTTTTCTTCTCATGTCTACAGCAGATGAACCAGGTCTGCCTTTCCCAAAAGCATCAGAAGTAGATCAGCACCAGTGGTCTCTATCTTCAGCTCAGGTCTTTTATATTCTAAAAATGTCTCATTTTGGAAGTTTTCAACTTCTAAATTGTAAGTAGCAGGTGATTTAAAGCATTAATGGTCAACCAATATTGGTTTATTATAGCAGATATTTAAATAGCAGGATGAGTGATGGTCAATATAATGCTGATAGATAGTACAATTTAAAGGGACAGTTCACTCAAAAATGAAAATTCTGTCATCATTATCTCACCCTCACGTTTTTTTTTTCAAACTTGTTTGAGTTTCTTTCTTCTGTTGAACACGAAAGACGATATTCTGAAGAATGTTGGTAACCAAAATGTTAACAGCAGCCATTGACTTCCATAGTATGGAAAAAAAATACTATAGAAGTCAATGGCTACTGTCTGCTTATGTACATTAGGGTGTTATGTTACACCTTATGTTGTCAGATCAATGTTTATCACATTATTTTAGTGTCATGATGGTGTTTTGTGTTTGTGTGTATGACACTGTCTGTGCATATTAGATTAGCATCTGAGATACGTAATCAGATTACTGATTTTTCAAGTAACTAGTAAAGTAACACATTACTTTTAAATTGACGAAATATCTGACTTACTTTTTCTTTGTTATGCAAAAGTAACGCAATGCGTTCCATTAGCTAAGGAACACAATTAGTTACTTTTTAAAGGAGTAAAACAATATTGTAATGCATTACTTTAGAAAGTAACTTTCCACAACACTGATTAGCATTCACTTCAGTTTGTGGAGAAGCTGCTTTGATTCATCCTGTGGTTTTCTCGTTATCACCTGTGTTTTAAAGTGGTTGTTGGATGTATACCTGGCCTATAAACATTCAGTCATTTCACCAGAGTCACGTTTGTTTGATGGCCTCTAGTGAATGAAGTAGTGAGATGTTTCCCAGCTGTGCTGCTGCTGTGAAGTGTGATTAACAGCAAACGCACAGCATGAAGCTCAGTTAACCCTTCGGACTCCAGTGTTTTCTGAATGAAGCAGACGCGGTGAGTCAGAGCAGAGGGTTCAAACGTGCCGCTGTGATTCGCAGCTGATCTGTGGGCTGATGGGTAACAGCGTGAGACGATTCGTTGGTGGCGTTGGTGACTCACGTCTGAGTCATTTAGCAGATGCTTTCAGCAGCATTTCTAGGGCCCTATGAAATCCTTTATTCCAAATTCAGTTTTTTTCAATTTTTTACTCCTTTTTAAATGGTTAAATTTTATTGTATTAATCAAAAAGCATGTCTAATTGATTAAAAAACATGAAACTTATACAATTTCACATCAATTTTTATTAAAAGTTTAACAAAAATGACATGTTTAGGGTCCTATGAAATTAGTTTTATTTTCTCACCATATGTTTTATTGTTACCAAATTCTGTTTTAATATGCTAATTATTTGAATGCATAAAAACAACTTAATTTATTCAAATTGATTCTTACAATAGCCTTGTGATTTATTTTTTCTCAGAAATGATCATGCATTTACATTTTTCTGGTCATCAGAAAAAAAATAAACAAACTTAATTATTTTGGCAAACAACGGGCATTTACTATTAAAATTAAAACGGAAGACATTTTTTGATTGTTTGATTATTCCTTAAAAAATAACGTTTTAATAATTTTAGTAGTAGTACATTCTATTCGAAAGTTAGGCTAATATATTTCTGGCACAATGTCTTCAAGTTAAACCAAACTTTTATTTTGACGGGTTGCCGTGAATACCTTTTAAGTTTCTGAGTGTATATGATATAGTTTCTCTCAAATGAAACAATAAATGCTCAATACGCTCAGAACAGTTCTGGAGATGTTGTAGATGTATTTATGTCCTCATTTAGTGAGATGGCAGTGATTCCGTGCATCGCAGAAATCATAGGGCCCTACATTTCAGATGCATTAATCATTGGGGATCGAACCCATCACCTTGAGGTTGCGAGCGCAGGAACGCAGATGCCATCTGCAGGATGTTTGGGTGCTCAGGTAAATTCGGGGTCTGTTTTTGGAGTCTGACGGACAGATAACGCTCGTCTCTCCCCGCCGACCCACTTCCTGCTGCCGTGTTTTTTTTACATAAGTGCTAACTGGAGAGCCAAGCTGAATTATTGATGATGCTGAAAATGGTGATCGCGCTCCTCTCGCTGCGAACGAAGAGGGAGGGGGGCATTTTTAATTAGAACTGTGCCTGTCTATGTGTTCAGAAGCGCATTAACCCTCTACAGATGAGAAAAACTACAGCAAACAACTGATGTTTGGTAAATGACCTTTGACCTGTTCAGTGTCATTCATACATGACCATGGACTATATAAGGAAACACATTTTATAAGACTGAATATCTAAAAGCACATCCTATTTGTAAAAAAAAAAAAGATTATAATAATAAAAATCTGATCTATTTAATATGCGTTTTATTTCTTTTTTGTTCATTGTTAATGGAGAAATCACACTTTATTAATACACTAACAATAAACAAGATTTTAGCATATTTTGAACACTGTTAGTTTACTATTATTTCTATAGTAATTTCGAAATAGCATTTATTTTTATATAGTTGAAGTTTTAGTAATTTTGTCATGTATACACATAAAACATTGCCGTTTAGACATAATTATTACACATTTCATGTTGTGTTTTCTTTTTAAATACTTCATAAAAGAAGACACTTCTAAAAATAATTACTTTCATTCTTGAAGGACGCATTAAATTGATCAAAAGTGCCTGTAAAGTAATTTATAATGGCACGAAAGATTTCTATTTCAAATAAACGCTGTTCTTTTTATCTTTCTATTCATCTGTGAATCCTGAAAAATAACATGCGTCACAGTTTCCGCAAAAATATTCAGCAGCAACATTGATGATAATCAGAAATGTTTCTTGAGCAGCCAATCAGCATATTAGAATGATTTCTGAAGATCATGTGACACAAGACTGGAGTAATGATGCTGAAAATCCAGCTTTGATCACAGAAATAAATTATGTTTGAACAGATATTCACATAGAAAACTGTTATTTTAAATTGTAATAATATTTAACAACTTTACAGTTTTTACTGTATTTTTAATCAAATAAATGCAGCCTTTGTGAGCAGAAGAGACTTATTTAAAAACCTTTAAAAATCCAGCATGTATTAGCAGTGTTTGCGGTGTAAATGTGTGTGTGTCTCTCAGCTCTGACCGTCTGGGATCCGCCCCCTCGCTCACACTCTCGCTGTCGCCATGACGACCTCGGCCCTGCGGCGGCAGGTGAAGAACCTTGTGCACAACTACTCGGATGCGGAGATCAAGGTGCGCGAGGCGACCTCTAACGACCCCTGGGGCCCGTCCAGCTCGCTGATGTCCGAGATCGCCGAGCTGACCTTCAGCGTGGTGGCCTTCAGCGAGGTCATGGCCATGGTGTGGAAGCGCCTCAACGACCACGGCAAGAACTGGAGACACGTCTACAAGGTGAGCGGATGCGTCCCCCTGAACATCAGCTAATCAACAGATTCCCCTCAGCAGCTCTTTCTGTCCTTTTCACTTCAGTTCTAGGCTCACTTATTTTTAGTGTAATTTATTTTTTCTAATTAGAGATTTGTAGCCTAATTCTAAAAAGTTTTATTTTTAGTTTATTTCTTTTTTTCTAGTCTAATTAGAGATTTCTAGCCTAATTCTAAAAAGTTTTATTTTTAGTTTATTTCTTTTTTTATAGTCTAATTAGATATTTCTAGCCTAATTCTAAAAAGTTTTATTTTTAGTGTATTTCTT